AAGGAGGAAGAGGAGGGGAAGAAGGGGAAGGGGAAGGAGGAAGAGGAGGAGGAGGAGGAAAAGAAGAAGGGGAAAGGGAAGGGGGAGGCGGAAGAAGGGGGGAGGAAGGAGGAGGAGGGGAAGAAGAAGAGAGAGGAGAAAGAAGGAGGAGCAGGAGGAGGAAGAGGAGGGGAAGAAGGGGAAGGGGAAGGAGGAAGAGGAGGAGGAGGAGAAGAAGAAGAAGACGACAGAGGATATAACCAAGCAATTTTCAACTGTGAAAAAACCCCACTACACCAGTTTCCCACCTTAGGCACTCAAGCTGGCTGGGTGACTTTGGGCCACTCCCCAGTCCAACCCACCTCGCAGGGTTCTTGTTTTGCAAAAACCAGGGAGTAGGAAGGAGGATTAGGTACGTGTGCTGTGCGCTGCCTTGAGTTACGTATTTAGTAACAAAGGTGGGATCAAAATGAAGATAAATAAAAGCATGCTTTCTTAGCTGGACGGAAGAGCTGACGGTGGGACGAACCCCATCCGGGTATCTTTTCCCTTCCGGCCCTCACCTGAGCAAAACATTCCACGGAGCCAACCAGGAAGATCAAATCCTTGACGAGATCCGAGACTCGCATCCGGAACTCCCCAAAATCATCCGTTTCCTCGGGGATCCCTTCCTAGGATTTGGGGAGGAAGAGAGGGGAAGGAAGGAAGGATATGTCACTCAAAGGGGACCGGCTGAGGGATTCTGGGAGTTGAAGTCCACCCATCGTACAGACGCCACACAGGTAGGCTGTCCCGGGCTTCACAACTGAGTCAAAATCTCTGTCGCTAAATGAGACAGTTGTTAAGTGAGCTTTGCCCCCGCTTTACAACGACAGATTTGTTCAGGGAATCACTACAGTTGCTTAAGGGAGAAACACGTTCAGTGAATATGGCTTGCCCGTTGTCAAAAGAGGACGCAAAAGAGGAATGTGTGACCTTCAGGCGCAGGCCGATAAAAATGGGTGGATTTTTAAAAAAATATATTAAAAAATCGGCTTAAAAAAAATTAAATCAATTTCTTTTATTTAAATCGGGGTATTTTTATGCTTATCAAATTTATTTTCATCAAACGCCTCTGGAGTAAGAATCTATCTAAATATCATTTTCTCTTTAAGATACGTTCATCATTCAGTTTGTTCAGCCTGAAACTGAGCTTACCTTATTTTTCAGACTGTAAGATGCACCGGAGTATAAGACGCACCATGATTTTGAAGAGGTAAATTTAAAAATGAAAAGTTTTTGCACTCTGCAGGCCTCCCAAATCCTTTGCACGCCCCGCTTTTTGCAAAAAGAAAAGGGGGGGGGGGGAAATGCAGAGCTTTGGGAGGTTGTAGAGTACTCCTGGGGGCTGCAGGGGGGGGGGGAAACGGTGCAGTTTTTGCTCTTTTTTTGCCCTCTTCAGCCCCCAGGAGCACTTTGCAAGTCTCCCGAACCCTCTGCAACAGGGGTGGGTTTCAGGCGGTTTGCGGCGGTCCCCGCGAACCGATTAGTCGGCGAACCCGGAAGTAAGTAACTTCCGGGAACGCCGAAGGGTCCACCCGCCC